CCCCAAAACCCCAAAACCCCAAAACCCCATGCTTAAACAATACTTAAGTATTTGAAACTATTAAAAATAAAAATGAATTAGAATTAGCAAAATCCTGCATTCAAACACTCTTAATCACTTTAAAACACTGCTAGAAAATCGTCCAAAAAGGTGATATAGTAGATTAATGGGCAAGGAGCTATTATTCCTCCACCTTTTCAGTCCCAATAAAGTTCAACGCTAAGTAGTGGTAGAAAGGAGTCAAAGAATATTAAGATTATTGACATGGAGGAGGATTAAGAAGATGAAAAGAATCAAAGTGATGAATATGAATTCGACTAGCAAGATGATAATAGAGGTGTTCTTAATCCCATCGATCAATTAGCTAATGCATTACAAAGCTCAACTAGTTCATCCAACGGAGGTATTATAACATCAGGTGGTACTGGAGGGGGATTTGCAACCCTTGTCAAAGAGCAATCAATCGCTAATACTAGCAATTCAAACAGCCATAATATTATTTATAATCCTGCAACACAATATTCTCAAACCTAAGGAGAAATAGATAACAGAGGCAGTATGTTTTCCCATCAAATACAAGATCCTTCTCTAAGATAAACCCAAAATTCTTTTCAGGTAATTTTCTTATAGAATTTTTAAATCTTAGATTCCTCAAATACTGATGAGTGGTGGAACATTTGGATATTACAGAGGAAGCGAATTTAGCATGGTTAATGCTAAGCCAGAATATTTTGTAATTAAAATGAATTTATGGCTTTAAAATGATGCTCAGCATTACCAACTTTATGTAAATTAAATAGTAATCTTTATTATGATAGTTATCAATACCTTCTAGCTATAGAGTTTAAGATACCATCCTACATAGTCTTGAGCATTTCAACCATAAAATAAAGGACTATCGTTTGCGAAATAACATTGAATATTATGCTTTGCAAAAGGCTACATTAGAAGGTAAACTAGATGATAAATCTCCAAGTAAGAATAATAGTTTTAAATTTATAATAGTTCTTCATCCTAATCAGAACATTTTCGAGACTAGTGCAGATAACTTTTGCTTATTTTTCAAAACTGATTAGCATTAAGTCCTATAAAAAAGAAATAAGATCCTTAAATACCCTCACTATGCTTAAGCTTAAAACTCATCTTCATCCTTTTCTAATATTCATAGTGACAGTAAATATCAATCTAGATAAAAGTTTGAAATTGCTCTTCCCATGAAGAATGGCTAAGAACCTGATTCGTTTGCTGAACTACAAAGAGATTAAAATTAGAATTAATATAAGTTATGGTGCGTAAAGAATATATTTTGCTGCTTTTGGAATAAAATGAATCCTGAAGAAAGACGATAGTCTATCTTCTAGTTATAGGGGAAGAAAAAAGAAGATTATAAAATCCTTAACAAAAAGTTGAATAGAGAGAGTTTTGAAGAGGATTTTAGATATAGCCATGCCTTACTAGATAAGAATTAGTAAAGTTGAATTACCTTTCGAATTTAAGTAGAAAATTTGAAGGAAAAATTAAAATAGTTTAGAAAATTTAACAATAATTGGTTTTATTTTCAAAATATGCTCAATATTATAGATAAATATTAAACTCAGGGGTTTTGGGGTTTTGGGGTTTTGGGG